CATCATCTAATGAAACTTCATGCATGTTCTCACATGATCGAATGCACAACATTAATAAATTTGTAGTCTTTGTTGTTTTTATAGTTATCACCTGGTAGGAAATTGGTTATACATATTTCTAAATGTTGCTTCTGTAATTTGTATCGCTTGGTTTGGGGCTGTGTAGTTTTTATGCTTATGTAATGTTTGTACCTACTCACAAAAGCACGTCCCCAGACTCGTGGAGAAGGCTGCCGGAGTTCAAAGCCAAATGGATTGGCACCATGTGCCTCTATTAAAAAATTCACATAAAATTTTTGAGTGAGTAGCATATACCATTTGAGTTTTTTGTCACCTTCTCGAGTGACTAGCATATACATTCATGGATTTTGTATGGGTTTGATTTGCTCCTCTGTTTTACATGTTCCATTCATGCTTACGTGTTTAGATATTGACAACTTTGGGAGATTATTAAACTCTATGTTTCAAAAGCTTCGTATAATTTGTAGTTTATTAATTACAATATAAATCTTCCATATATCATTGATCGTTTTTAATCATTTTATATTTAATTATTTTATTATAATCCAGCTTTTTCTGTGGAAAAAGAAAGTCAAGTGATGAGAGTGGTTTTACACGGGGTGTTAGACCGGGGTGTTAGACCGCCGTGCGTGCACGGCGTGAGCAAATCTAGTATATATATAATTGCTGGAAAGCTTCATTAAATTTTATTCAATAGCAAGTAATAAAAATATAGTTCCTTTAATAAAAAATTTTGTGACTCTCTGAAAAAACCGTTGAAATATATATATATATATATATATATATATATATATATATATATATATTTTACTTTGTTGCATACAATTATGCACCTTTTTTTACTATATTTTAAGTTTGTAACGGTTGCATGAGATTACCATTTTTTATTTCTCTATATTTGGGATCTGTAAATGTTTCATGGTGACGAGATAATGTTTAAATCATTAAATTTGAATGGTTGAAAATAGTTCTTTCTTTTTTTTTTAATTTCTTGTGATTATTCACATGTAAAAGAAATATTAATTATTGTTATGATATAGATACAATCCAAAAATATATATAAAAAAAAAAACATATTTTGTAATAGAGGTATTTACACCAACTCCTCCAAATTTAAATTTTTCCTGCAAGATTGTATACTATATTAGTAGAATTTAATGAAAAATAATTATCCATTTCATTTTATGCAATAAATATAGTGGTGAAATTGAATACTTTTATGATATTCATCTTTACTAATGACGAATTTTTTAAGATGCGATACTATTATTTAACTTATAATTTTATTATTATACATATACACGTAACTTATAATAATTTAAACATCTTTACATGTGCACAAGATCGAATACTAGTTTATATAATGTCCCAGACTAAAAAATTACCTCCAAACTACATTGGTAAATACTTATGTATCTCCTAGAAAACACTTACAATAAGAAGATGCTAGGATACAAATTTATCCAATAAAATCCAGTCATTGTTAATCAACAGTTAATTTTAACTCAAATATAACTCAACTTTAACTCAATCACACTATCTCCAATATTATCATTATAATTAAATAACATCACTCAATTATTCTTACACATTACTTCAATATTAATTTACTATTTATACACTCATATTATTTTAATTAATCATCACTTCACATCATATTTCTCATACTTTTACACCAAATCATCTTTAATTATTATATTTTGAATATTATTTTAATATAAACTCAAACTCCACCGACAACTAACCATACCACTTTTTAAAAATTAACCATACCAAACCAAAAAATCCAAACATAATCAAAATATTTTATAACCAACCAATCTTTTAACAAATTCAAATTGTGTGAAGAAGGAAAAAATCATGCTCGCCTAAAATCAGGAAAACAATATGCAGTGTTTTCAAAAGCAGCTCTGTTGTCATAAGTTATCATAAGCAGTAAGTTGCAAAAATTCAAGAATCACCAGTTGCCATAGGCCTCAAAAGCAGTATATTCATACTAACTTCCACAACAGAACAAATGGGAGTGAATTCAACGAAGTACAAAAACCCGATACAAAAACCCGATATAGTAATATACTACCCGACTCTGCAAATTGTTGTTTCTACTTATATTACATACATCAAACAATTACAATCCAACATAGTACTAAAATGATTATGTCCTGTGTAT